CCTGGGTGACCAGTGAATCCCATTCCCCCTACTTGGCCAGGTTCTGCAGATAGGCACACTTGTCATTTCTCTTTGGCCATTTATAAGTTCTCTGGTGCTAGTGCTCATTGAACTTGCTAAAGTTCAGGACCAAGCTGTGCCATGTGTTATCACCACTCAGGGAAGACACCACAGGCAGCTACTCTGCTTTCCAAGGACTCAAAGTTGGCATCCATTCTCCCAGATGGATGTGATTTACCTGTACTAGTACCTGTAACTGCTGAGTCCTTTCGACTCTAGGTGTGTTCTCACTAACACTGTCATGGGCTGGGCACATACCTATGTCAGGGTAGCAAACACCTCTGTCTGCTGGTTAGGCACAAAGACGCCTGAGAGTTCTGCCCCTGGATTAGCCTGGCAAATCCATACTATGTCCCTGGACAGATGGATATGATTAGGAAACTTTCATTGCTACCTCAGTATGGGATGAAACTGGCAATGGTTTTTAGTAATCCTAGATGATGGGGCTTGTTTTCTGATTATATGTGACTACAACATATATTGTTGTGGCCAGTGGATACAGTGCTCTGCCCTCCTTGCTAAGGGCTCTTTGCATAAGACTTCAGACGTGTAGATTGTATGTCGAGGAATCCTAAAGGGGTGGATTGTAAGGCAGGCCCAAAATGGCTATAGTTAGGCTCCCTCAACAAGACTTGTAGTGGACTGTTCAGTGTGTAGTTAAGGTCATGAAAACCCTGATTCAGAATATGAATTCAAGGTCATAAACATTTACTTGTGAGCATGTGCCCACTAATGTAACCTTTTTGTCTGGCCTGGGTATAAAAAAGCCCTATGAAAATGGTTTGGGGGTAGGGGCAAAATGGAACTGGCTGGGGGCTGAAGCCAGAGCTGGGGTCTGGTTGGGAGCTGTCTAGGGGCTAAAAGCACCTCTGGATAAAGCATATCTATTATCCCAATTGTGTCTTGCATTTTCCAATTGCTGGCATCCTGAGTCTCTTTCCTGGATCTGCATCGGCTTAACCTGACTGATGCTATTTCTGTTTTGGAATTAGGAGTTATACAACCTAATATACCTGGGTTTTAAATCCTGAAATCACATAACATTAGACCTAAAAGTGATTTGTGTATTTGTGCATCATTTAACCTATATATCCTGCATTCTGAGTATAATCTAAATTATGCTGTAGTAACAAAAAATCTCTAAATATCAGTAGCTCAAAGCAACAAAGAATTCTTTCATGCTAAAACTATACAACATTATGGAGTGGCCAGGAGCTTTGAGTCATGTACATTCTAAGAAACATCTTGACAAGGCAGCTGCTGCCTGGAATCTTGCTCATTCCCATAGATGAAGAAAAGAAACACACTGGGTTCTTAACACTTTACCAGAAATGACATATACCATTTTCGATCAATTTCTTTAACCAAATGAAGTTACATGGGCAGGGATAGACTGAAAGGCAGAGCAATATTCCCATATGCCTAAAGGAAGAGCCAAAAATATTGGGTGAATTGCACTAATGACTACTTCTCCCTTACATTTTACAATGAAGAAATTAGGACTAGAGAGATATTGTCAGTTGTAATGTCATGAAGCTGATTTATGTCTTAGCTGAGACTAAAACTGAATCTTAGATTCCCTGCCCATTGCTTTTTCTAGATGAGGAACTGCTTGTTCCTTAGTCCAAATAAAATACATTTAAACATCTTGGTGTCGATATTTAATAAAGTAACATAAGCTTGTATTAAAAGTTTTTTATACCTTTTCCAAAAAACATAAAGCCTAGATAGATTAGAACCCTTGTTCCTTTTGCCTTGCTGATGCTCTAGCAAGATGCCCACTCGAAATCTAACCAGGCTGCTTTCATTTCCAGCAAAACTAAATCATATTTTAAGTGGGAGACTCTGAACACACTGGCTTAAGAAATGTCAAGAAGATAAGCAAGAGAACTATGAATCTTTATGTATCCTGCACACTGTCTACTAAATCCATTAGAAATATGTTCAAACAGGAAATCCAATGATGGCTTAGGAAAGGGAAGTTTATTTTACCCTAATAATAAGAAGTATAAATGTAGATGACTACTGACTTTGGTAAAGTAATTCAATAAGAGTTCATGGATCTCTTTGTCTTTTCTCATAGGATGGCTGTTACTGCTTCATGTATTGTGCCTATGATCAATTCTGAAAGGGGGAATGTTGAAGCCAGCTAGGCCACCACTTTTATTAGAGAAGCAAACTCTTTCCTAGAATCGATATGCTGCCCCTCGTTCTAGAAGATTATATTGAGGTCCCATTTACCAGGAGTGGGGTTATATGATCACTCTTTGCTGCAAGAGAGAACAGAAAAAGAAGAAACAAAATTAGAATTGATTGGACAATTCAAATGCTGCCTTGGACAGTAAGGTTTCTCCTGGCACATGAAGACGAGGAGGTAGGGGGTAGTAGGAATAAAGATTGAGTGAACAATCAACAGTGTCTTTCCCATTCATTGGCTGAAAAAAAAAGGCAGTTTTAAAAGAACTTATGTATTCATTTTAAGTTTACATGAAAATTATTATGAATAAAAAAATATGTATTGACCATTGAATTCCCAGTAGCTATGCTAAGTCTCTTTACAATTGTTGAAATTTTAAAAAACATAATAAAGCTACTAGAATAATTTCTGCTATGATGATTGTTTTAAAAAGAGAATTTTTTTTTCCAGAAAGATTGCTGTATTAGGGAACCATTTGAGCATCACACTATTTCACATTTGTTTGTTTGTGAATTTGTTCATTTACAACCATAGGGGAATGTAGAAAAATGTACCTGGATAACCTGCTGGCACAGGAATACACAAACCTCACACATGTACACTTTAAATGTTTCCAGTGGCCTCGGTCGGTCTCTGCCTGTGTTAGGAGCCACACCCACCCACATCTGCTGCTGTTTCTGATTTCAAAAGATACGTCTTCCACCATTTCACAACTCACACACAGCAACCTTTCTGAGATAAACGTCCTCAAAGCAAATGCCAGGTCTTTTTCAAGATAAAGGGGCATTTTTTTAATAGTATTTGTAGTATTTCTTAAACATTGGTCATGTATAAACCATGCAAGTGGTATCTATCTGGTTGTATTAGATTTCTATCTGGTTTTTAAGAGCCTCTGAGAAAATTTCTGAATGTTGTATCCCTAAACCTCTTAATTTCTGCAGTTTTTATTTGCACAATTTTGCTATGGTACTATGTCTAAGTAGTTTAATTGTGGTAGTTATTAGGAGTAATGCACACACACACAGATATATACACATGTGTAATACATACATGCGATATACATGCTAGATTAGAAAATAATTGAGACACTTTTTTTGTTGTTTAATTTGGTTTGGATTGGTCCTGGAGATTGAAACTAGGGGCACTTTACCACTGAGCCACATCTCCAGCCCTTTTTAAAAAAAATTCTTCATTTTGAGACAGGATCTCACTAAGTTGGTGAACCTGGCTTTGATTTCATAATCTTCCTGCCTCAGCCTCCCAAGCTGTTGGAATTACAGGTATGTGCTTGAGGACCTAGCTTGAGACACTTTTTTACATAAATTTCAAAAGTTCATTTTATATCTTAGAGGCGAATATGCCTTTAAAAATATTTATTAAATATATTTGGGAGCATTTATTTTTAAAAGACTGTCAATTATATTAAATATAAGGCATTCAATATACCAAGCTATATATAGATGTCTCTATGGTGAGTGGAGATTTGTCATTTATCTTTTAAGATAATTATGCAAATTGCATTCAGCCCACACATTCTGAGTTTTTCCGTTTTCCAATTTTTTTTATCTCTTTTTCTTATCTATAAATCTTGTCTAACAGGAGTCAGGCAAGATTCAGAATGGGCAGCACAAGGCTGTATTTTGGTGGTCCCTTTACAATAGAAAAGAATATATTTTCTGAGTTAGGGTCTCTTTTCCTTAATGAGGGAATACAAAACTCTCAGCACATTCCCAGAGCTTCGGAGAGGTTCCCCCTTGAGAGATCTCAGTAAATACAAGAAAAAACAACCTCAAAAAAATTTATGCAAGGCCTCTCACCATTTGCCTTTCTTGCTCTCAATGCTTGCTACCATTTTTTTCTGCTTTCTGCATTCCTCCTCAGGTCAAACATTTTTCCCTCTCTTGTTTTCCCCAAACAGACTGCCCTGTCCTGGAAGTCCATCTATGGAACAGATTAAAAAAATCAAACCTGACTCTGCACTTGTTTTCCTAGAGACCAAGACATAGAATAGGGTTTAAAACACCAAGGAATTGATTTAATTCAAGAGTAGAATGTGGAAAATAAGAAACTGAGAAGGTTCTAGGCTTCTGTGGGCATTCCCCTCTGCTTCTTATGACTTCTACCAGATCACTCTCAAACGTGAATCCTTTTTTTTGCTCAGGAATTTGGATCAGGGTTTGGCAAGTATGTTTTTAATAAATAACCTCTGGATGTTTGATTTTTAAAAGCAGAAGCATTACTTTGAGTACTTAACAGTCAAAATTAAAAACAATCTGTTCTGTTGTCATGCTAATGCAAATTCTCACAGCCCAGACTCCCTGGGTTGCAGGTGAATGATCCTCATCAGAGGCTACCCAGGATCCTGTCTTCCTCCAGGCAGCAAAGCACAACACAGTGTCCCAAGCGCACCTGTACACACCCATAGGCACACATTAAACCCAAAAGCCGCAGGTTATGCTAATGCTTACTTTCCCTTCCTCCTGGCCTCACCTTGCTCACTTTTCTTCCCCACATCAACCCCCAGGCCTTGCCCCACACAATAGGATTTTTGTTTGCTTCAGTAGCATGTGACAGCACAGTCCCTGCTTTGCCTAGCTCTGTGCTGCAAGTCTCTCAGGTAACAGGTGGCAGCTTCCCCAGAAGGATTCTAGGCATAAAATAGAATGACCTCATAGGGGTGGAGCTCTGGGACTCCGTAGAGGTGGCAGTCACAGCCAGGTAACCCTGGAGCGAAGCTGTTTAGTTAGAAGGGGGCAGTTAAACTCCTCACTCCAGTGGCTTTCACCCTCACCCTGAAGCACCTTAGCACTGTTGCCTGCAAACCCCCGAAGGTTGTCTTTGCCCCAGATGGAGCCCAAAGGTGCCACTGGGAAAGAAAACATGGGCACCAAGAGAAAGAACCTGACCTTCTTGAGGCCCAGGATGTATATGCTGGAGAGACGGAAGACTGACACTGTGGTTGAGAGCAGTGTTTCTGGGGACCACTCTGGTACTTTGAGGAGGAGCCAGTCTGACAGAACTGAATACAACCAGAAATTACAAGGTAACAAAAAAAGAAATCAATTGTCCCATGTTACTGCACTTCCAGCTCTGTTTTTGCTACACTCCCATTTGCAAAGGAAACACTTAAGGCAGAGGAGAAAATTAATACTACCTTTCCTTCTCATAAAATAAGAAATGCAAGTAAATGTGTCTTAAAAATTATAGGGAGAATTCATTAAATGAATCAATACTTAAAGAGCCAAATTTGAATTATTTTAATATTTCTTTTTGTTTTGTTTTTGTGTGTATGCACATAATATTTTTTTTCTTCTACTTCCCTTTTCCTCTGCCTTCCCTTCCAGCCCAACTTAAGAAGTGGGAAGCAACAGAAAGCAAATGATTTAGAAACCTACAAAAATTGTTTTTTTTTATTGGTTGGTTTTGGGTTTTTACACCATGAAATCGGTGTTTCTAGGTAATCGCGCTGAATGGTGATTGTGGTTACCTTAAATAGCAACATGAAGCTACAATCATGTTTGTGAAAAGTAAATCATGTTATAGTTCGAAGGATTTGCTGACATTCACTTGGGTGATCATTCCCTTAGAATGAATTGGATAACACCTCAATATGGTAAGAGGTATTTAGCATGCTTATGCTGAATGACTTTAGAGAAAATAACTTCAGTTTATTTTGACATTTTGACACAGGTATTATAACATGTATCTGTTTCAGGCCCTGAATTTCTGTCTCTTTCCATCTATTCGTTCTCCTAAACCTCATTTGCTCTAGTAAAACTTCATTTAATGTTGATAGTGTATTGTAGTGTTTTAAGTCTCTTCTGTAGTTCCTGCTAGGTGCTCTTCCAGATCCTGACTTTCCTGTTTTAAACACAATGTGTGTTTGAACTCTCACCATCCCATTGTGAACCGTCATTCTGGACTCAAAAACTGTAATGACCTTAGAAAGACCAATGAAATATGCTTGCACTTAGCATATGGCTTTCCTCAGAAATGAGCTTAGACTCAGTAATGCAAATCAATTTAAGTAAAATAAGTTAAATGCATTTAAGTTAAATCTTTAAAAAGTATTACTATGAATTAATGGTTTAAAAATGACACATAGTTTAGCATTAAATAGCACTGTCAGTCTTATCCTTAAATTTTGTATTTAATGAAGGAAGAATATTGTTTGATCTCTGAGTTCAGTTTCTCTGAAGGCAATTTATGCATTGGAAAGAACACAAACTTTAAAGTCATACACATTTGCTTCCTAATCCTGACTCTTCAATTTACTACCTACAAGATTTAGAGCTAATATTACCTAATATTTCTGAATCCCAATTTCCCTATTTGTGGATGTGAAATTAATGATACTTACTCCATATATAGTGTTGTTGAGGAAATAAAATTAGAAAATTACATGAAACATTTAGTATATTGCCCAACACAAATTATGTGCTCAATAAACTGTAGTTATTTAAAATTCTGGCAATAATGGTACTATAATAATAGAACAGGGTGTATCCTATATTAATCTAAATTCACATAAATTTATTGATCTTTTTTTAATTCTTCTTTGTTCTTTGGTAAAGAGACTACATATAGAAATTCAGGAAAAGTTCATTACTTGATCCTTAATAACATGTTTTTTTCTGTCTGAGTTTTTCTAATTCAGCAATGTTGTGGTTCAGATTTTACACTGGTAAAATAAAAATAGAAAGGATTTTTTGCTACTCAATATTTGCTATTCTTTTCCTAAATTTACCTAAAAATAAGTCTATAACCACAAACCAGAGTGGATGCATGTTGTTACTTTACAGGAGACCTCAGGCTTCTTAGATACTCCATGTGATTTGTGGGTTTCTATACTTTATTTTTTTCTGTCTTTGAAGGTAGAAGGAAGGCACAGGAGCTCACCCATGTTCCTAGAACTATTTGTTGCTTGAGAAAAATTAGTAAGGAGAATGTAAGAGTGCATCAGAGCTGTTAATTTGACTGGCCTCCTGATAAAAAAGAATTCTTTAGGTGTAACTCAATAAAATCCAAGCTGAGATCTAGTATGTAATAGAGTTTTTAGAATGATTCTGCTCTAACTGCTTTGCTAACTTTATGAGGACTTTTCTCATTAATGTTCAAAGCAATTCATTCTTCAGATTTGCTTCCTGGCCTGTACTAGGTCCACTACCATGAAGATGACTCCAATATCGCTTTAAGAAACTCTTTATTGTTGAAATGCTAAGGGCTTTTCTTGCATCTTTCTTGAAACTTGTAGACCCAAAGGAGTCATTAAATAAAGACCTGGGCAGTTTAGAGTCCTTTGACTGTTGGCCCAAAGCCTTTGTGATTTCACAGTGTTCTTTCGAAGACTGGAATTTCTAGTACCTCCACTGTCCTCAAATTATTCAACTGTTGTTCTTGAGTGCTGTGTTGGTACTTTAGTATTCACTGCTCTAATTCTTTCTGGAAGCATGCTCTCTGGGTTCTGGATAATATAAGATCTTTCTTCAGTGCCTGTGAGCTTGCCTCAACTGGTAACTACAGAGGCTATCTGCTCACTTTCCGATATCACATTAGTGGTGTAAATCTTAAACTGCAATAATAACTTTACAAAATGGTGCCCTGGATAAGAGTGCCTGGATTAGAACAATAGAACATGGCTCTCAAGAGGTTATCCTAAAGACTCTGTCGAAAATTGACATCAAGGCTACCAAGTCATGACTATTTAAGTTGCACAATCATAGCTCAATGTTAACTTAATGTTAGTTTTTTTTCATCCCTTCAACAGAATCATTCAGTTTGTTGGCATTTATTGCACATGTTATATGCTATGTCTTGGAGGTTACAACGGTGAGTGAAAATAGACTGTGTGCCAGGAATCACAACTACAAAATGATTAATAAAATATATTTGATCTTTACTGCAAAGAGGCTTAAAGTTTAGCTGGGAAAAACAAGACAGGTAAACAAATCAATGCAGTGAAGTGGCATGATGGAAGTAGATGGGACCAGCAGATCCTCAGGAGAGGAATGGTGGGGAAGGTTCTTGGGCCTTTAAGAGATGATGAGTTGGAGATGGGGAGAAGCTAGAGAATGGGAAGAGAGGGAGGGGTATTTTAACTTCTTCACTATAGTTTGTCAGAAGTTATATTGTTTTGTACTTATTGCTATTATTGACTCATTTTGCATCCAATTTCTCTCAAACCCCTGACCCCAAACTCCATGAAAAAGATGTATCTGTTTTGTTAACTGTTCCATCTTTGCACACAATCATGCCAAGCACAGAGTAACTGGTCAGTAACTGCTAAAAAGAATTAATGAATTCCTTAAATGATCTGGCCGAGGTTGAGAGCTGGTGTAAAGAAAGGAACCCAGGTGGGAAATAAGAGTTCTTGTACATATGTGTCTTCATATGTGAAGACACATGTCTCCATCAATAAAGGAAATTCCTCAGAAAAAAGTATATGTAAATATATCAGAGGTAGAAATATACAGAATTTCCAATATAATGAGTAATTATTAGTGGAAGCTTATCTCATTCCAGACTCTGCCTTTTAGAGCACACAATGATCATACCTCAGTTCAGTCCTTTTCTTCCATTAATTAGAAGATCTATGTCATTCTTCCAGGCTAGCTCAGCTCATGATCCCCATTTTACTGGAAGCCTTAGAGATGATCTAAATAGGGGAAATTTAGTGATCTAGTTGTTAAAAACTTAGAAAGGATTTTGTATTTGATGATGCATGTTAACTCCACGTTTGAAATGTGCGTAATTTAAAGTTATATACAAGCATGTCTATGCATATGCAGATGAAGATATCTATAGAATGTAGACATAGGGATGTGTGCATGTGTGGGCACGGGTGTATACTTGAGACATTTCTGCAATGACTAAATTTTAAATAAAAAATTGTATTGATTAACATTAAGCAATATTTTTGAAAACCCAAAATGATTAAGATTATTGACATTATTTTCCAATATTGGTACCATGACTAAATGTTTGTATCCCTTTTAAGTTTGTATATTGAAACCTAATCCGCAATGTGATGGTATTTGGAAGTGGAGACTTTGAGAACTATAAAGTAGAGCCCTTATGAATGGGTTTAGTGTCCTTGTAAGAAAAGATAGGAGACAGCTTGCTTCTCTTTGCTATCTGCCATGTGTGGATGTGGAGATCTGCAAACCAGGATGCAGATACTCACTAGGAATGGATCTACCAGAGCCTTGACTGTGGATTTCCCAGCATGTAGAATGATGAAAATGAAATGCTTCTTGTTTAAGCCACCCAATCTGTTTGTTAGAGCAGACTAAACTGAGCAAGACAATGGTCAATCCCCTGTACCTTCTATGGTAGCACTAAGTCACCTCTGCTTAATTTTTTAGCCAATGTGTATTTTTTCTAATTAAGCGCTGAAAGCAAGAATTAGAGAAAATGGATAAATGTCACTGTTGTTGCAGTAACACATGTCAAAAATCCTGTCTTCAATTCATAGCAGGTCTGTGGTACCTTCTATTGTTATTATTATTATTATTAATCATTTTATTCTCATTAGGCAAGGATTAGTTAGTTTTCTTTATGAAATCATGGTTTTCTTACTATATTGAAAATAATGAATCACTCTATAGCAGGAACTTTATACAGAATAAAATATTGTGCAGGGCAGAGTGCTTGCCTTGCACGTTTGAGGCATTAGGTTCGATCCTCAGCACCACATAAAAATAAATTTAAAAAAGGCATGCTATCCATCTACAGCTACCAAAAATAAATAAATATTGTTCAGTATGAGGACAAATGGTTCAACTAATAAGTTAGACTTGATAAAATCATGAGACCACATAATTTGTAATGACTGTAAACAATCTGTACATGAGCAGGAGTTGTTCACATGGGAAGATTTGGTGTCTTTTATTCCGACCTTATGACGCGTGGGATGAAACAAGCTGTTGGGCTCTCTGTGCAAGTTTCTAACCCAGGGCTGAGTCCTTTTTATTCCTGCCTGTCCTTTGAGTATTGAGCAGCTCCTTCCCTTTACCTGCCTGTGGATAACACCATTCAGTGAAA